TGTTCTTTGAGAACACTAATTGTCCGCAGTGACCCGAGCCTTTTGCTGAGATGTCCTGAAGATTATCATAACGTGCAATAGTAAAATGTATAAAAAAAAAAAAAACTATCACATTTTAAAACCACAGTATGATACTGTGAAGCAATGCAACATTCAAAAACCTTATTAAATGCATGCATTGAAGGACTCTTATCACACCTTGAAGCATTTCTGAATGGTATTGATTGTCACTGTCATAATACCATCAGCTGTTGATTATCTTTCACAACACAGAGCGGTTGGATACTGCCCTGACTTTACATCAGACACAATGTAATGTGTTGAGGCCTTGTTAAGGTGTGCCAAGGTTCAGTGTAATGTTGCCAAAACATGTTTTTACTATCTGGGGGAGCAGCCTTTCCACTCCACATTCATGTGTCTCTGATCATTTGAGCTCTGCAGTTGACCAACGGTGATCCCATAAAGGTCACTCATTACCCGTGTGGCTAATAGAGGAGGGTGAGAATTGATGATGATGCTCTAACATAAACACATTGTAGTTGAAGCTTCTTCTATGTAAAAGTAAAAGTAAATATTTCAAACAAAGCCAAGCAGAACCAAAATCACTAGAAACGACATGAGTAGTAGAGAGACGGTACAAGCACAAGATAAAATATACAGCCTCTAAAATTGCTTTTGTTTTATAAAAGCAGGGATTTAAGAGATGACACACTCATCTTCCCCACATTCCTCTGGCAGACTGCTTCAAAGCACAGAGAGCTGCAGAAACCTGGTCGCTCTGGATATAAGGATCATTAGAGGAGCAAACAAAGACTATTGAGTTCCAGCAATTAAAGTACATGTTATATTTTCTAAAGGATGTCACTAAGATGGGGTAAAGTGATGGAAAACAGCAAACGGTTGCCTAATTACACATCAAACAGCCACTGAGCAACATTGGTATTCATTTGGAGTTGTGTTTCTGGCCACCCAACAACTGTAAGTCCAACATGCCCCCTTCTTTTTAGCTGTTTTGACCTCCAACAAATCTGTCTTTTTAATGTCTAAATTCTCCAAAATGTTCAGCAGCTGTGACTGGAAACAACGCAGATGATTGTAGAGGACGTTAACCAAAACAAATACTGTGCTCAGAGACGCTAAGATGCTCCGTAGAGCTGGTGATCATTCTCTGTGGGTTCCTCACTTTAAGGGACTCCTCTCACATTGCATGAAGACATCTGATCCAATGGTTTTATACAATTATTGATTAATTCAGCTTTAAGGAAGCTGGTAGTATTCTGTGGCTCGACCTCAGCCATGAGGCCAAAAGTGTCAAAAGAAGCTCTAGTAGTCAGCGGGGTGAGGAGGTTTTGAGTTTGTCACCACTAATGTGGTGAGCTATAAAATGAGTTTAATACAGGGTTTGCTTAAAAGTGTATTTGTTTGAATATGCCGTTACCACTAATAACACCTGTTTTGTGGAGGTTTCCGTTCTGATAAAGCTACGGTGTTTTCATGCTGAAACAGGAAGTAAAAAAGTGGATATTTTTTTGAAAGAAAAAAGGGCACTAAACAGGGCTTTATTGGTGGTGACGGGTGTGGAAAGTGTTTGCCAGATTACCTACCACTCAAGGGCAGCATCTCACAATAGCCTTATTACATAGATTTTGACAAGTGGACAGTAAAAACACAAACGGTGGTGAAATATGTTCATAGTGGTGCAGTCAGCACTAGAGGCCTTAGGTCATGCATCCATTAATACAGCCTACCAAATTTAAATTTAGGAGAGGTATAAGATGCTAGAAGCAATGAAAAACAAGTCTCCATCCTGCTTACTGGACTCATAAGATTATAGAGTCTGTGATAGACCATACTAATATAGGATTGTTTGTTTGGTCTGCAGTCACTGCATGTGCTGCTTGGGACTATTGCCTACACTAGAGTGACCAGAATCACCTTTTATTGGCGTGCACACAGACGGCACAAACGCACAGACGTTTGTAGTTTAAATAGTACGGCACAAACACACAAACAGACGGCTATTTAAACAAAACAGTTTAAATAGTACGGCACAAACGCACAAACAGACGGCTATTTAAACAAAACAGTTTAAATAGTACGGCACAAACAGATGGCTATTTAAACAAAACAGTTTAAATAGTAYGGCACAAACATACGGCTATTTAAACAAAACAGTTTAAATAGTACAGCACAAACAGACGGCTATTTAAACAAAACAGTTTAAATAGTATGGCACAAACAGACGGCTATTTAAACAAAACAGTTTAAATAGTACGGCACAAACAGACGGCTAAAACCCAGACCACGGTCTGGGTTTTAGCCGTCTGTGTGTTTTGGATTCCATCTAGATTTTACAGTCACTTCAAAGAAAATTGCAATGTTCAATATAGTAAGTGTTTGCTCCCAAAAATAATGACCTTGCAGGTTTATAGTTGCCATACCTTTATTTTGAAAATAACGCCCTAACCCGCACTTAAATCCTCCCGCGTAGCCGTTCATCAGGTTGTGTTTACACCAGCTAGAAGTCACCTCTGTGGCAGAAACATGACGATGTTTTAGTCCATGCATGAGCAGTGTGTCGCTAATATGAGCTCCACAATGATTTGGTGTGGTTGACACAAGTTTATAATCTAACTTTTCTACTCTAAGCTATTGTCGAATGAATTCATCTGATTATAAGCTGGTAATAACAAGGCATCTCATAATACAGCTCCCTCTTAAAAACGTCACTACAATACTGACGTTAAAGTGGTGGCTGAGGCTCTCTACTGCTGCTGTGTGTCTCTTAATGTTACTTGTGCAGTGGCCGTGTCTCTGTGGACACATGTAGAAGCTCTCTCATTGATTCATTATCTGAAGTTAGGTCTGTGTGGTGTCTTGCACAAGTTCACGAGCCAAGAAATGAGTTATTAGGACCAATATACAATACTTTTGTTTTGCATACTTTCATTAGTGTATTAACTACATTCCCGTGCAAAAGCTGTACGTGATTTGTAGTTTTAATAGTGCGTCAGTTTAAACTTTAAATTTCTTAAAAACAACAATTACCTCACCCATAAGTAAAGAAGGAACATTTCCTCCAAGTGCTATATTAAGACTTAATCAAAGAACAAGCAATTGTAGACGCTGTAATACTCGAGCTGTCCCATTGTCTGCTTTGCATCCCTTCAGCCAGAGGCGTTTGCTTATCCATATTTCCTCGTGTGCTTTTGGGATTGTCAAGATCTGAGATTGAGCTGAAGAGCGACCAGCTGTGGATTTCAAGCTGTTTTGAAACAAATCATTGAGGCAGAAGCTTTGCCCTTTTTGTGCCAGGCTCAGGCAGACACTGTCCAACACCTCTCACATGGTTAGGCTGTAGATTTAATCCACAGCATGAGTATACACACACACACACACACACACTGCTCAGAGAACCTGGAGTGTGTGTGGGTGTAAACAGCAGGCGAGACGGGGATAGAAATGAACAAGACATAGCTCAAATTAATTAATTAAAAAGGATTGTATGTTTTGTATATATTGCTATACTATTAAAAAAAAGTACCTTATTTGTAAAGGTAGAATTTTCGGGGCTTTTCCATCAGAGAATATTGGATGGCCTCAGCTGTTTAGCAAAGCCTGAGTCATCGATATCAAAACTGTTTCACGGTGTAATGTGTGGCCTTGTTGACCAGGATGCATCTCATGTTACTCCCCACTCTAAACCCAGTTGGGGATCTTTGTTGGATGAACAGCAAAACAATGTAGTTTACCAATGAGACTTATGTTTCTTTTAAGGATTCTGTCAACGACGAGAGAACAAAACTCAAAGACTAAAAGACGATTTAGAATATTTTGTGAAATGACCCGGTTAGACATGTAATCATTAGTTGCAGCTCATGAGCAGTACCAGATGCTCAGCAGAGTCAGAGCTCTACTCAGTGGTGTAGATGTGAGTTGATTGTTCCCCGTAGAGTCCCAGCTATCTGCCCAATGTGATGACGCTGCTTCCTCGGTGCACCGCTCACAGCTCCAGTCTTAAAATATCCTCGCCGCATTCTGTCATGCTTCCCTCGGGGACGGCCATGGGTCAGAGATCCCACCTCGGGGAATCTCTTCACTGTTTGGATATAGATTTGGTTTGTTGTGTTTGCTGGTGTGCAATGGGTGTAGTGGAGGGTGGACTTAAACAGCATGGATCCACCTCTCAAAATCTTAAATATCTTTTAATGCGACATTAGGAGCATTTATGCAGGTTTTACATGGCCGTGTCCGCTTTTTGGAGAGTAGTCACCCATCTAAGGGCTCACCTAAGTGGATGTAAATTAATTTCCTATCCTTTAGATTTTTAGGCCTATTTGGTTTCTGCAATGCAATTGTATTTTGCATGTCATCATTGGTATAGATGTTCATTTACACACATCAAATTACATATTGCACTGGCAATACGTAGGGATGTGTGGTATAAACCAAATAGGAATAGACTTTGCTTCAGTAAAAGCCCAAACATGTTACTAATGTAGTGGTAGTTTTATTTAAGGAAGGCCTAAGACTGACTGACATTACATTTTGTTTCTGTTACTTAAGCTGTAAAAGCTAAATACTATCAAGTATCTTGACAACTAAAACATATACATGATATTTTGCCTATTGAACAACTGTAGGATGTACTATCCAGCATTTGGGTAATACGTTGGTATCGTCATACTATTTCTTCCCTCTTTATTTGTGTAAGCTGTGACTGGCACACAGGTGATTAAGTCTAATTTGCTCTCTTGGTGTTTGCTAACCTGAGGTGACTACCCTCCTGATACACCGGGCCTCGATGTGCAACAGGATGCAGCCGACTGCAGAGAAACAGGATGTTTGCAAAGTGGTTAACTGTGTGCTGCAGCAGACCTACTCTTCATGATGGCTGATATTCTGTTATCAACATACAGTAAAATCATATTAAGCATTCTGCCTCCTTTTTAGATGCACAGCTTTTATTTTATTTTGTCATGTTTGACGTTTTCTTTCAGAGCTTGGGTTGGCACAGCGAAAGTTTGCCCAGTGCCTGGGAGAGTTTCAGTTTGAGTACGTCGGCGATGCGAAGACCGATGATGAGAAATGTATCGGTAAGTGTGGGGTTTTTCAATTCAATTCATTTTGTATCGCCCCAATCACAAACCACAACTTTGTCTCCTCACATGATGGAAACTAACCACTAGTTCCGTTACCACCACCAGACATGCACTGTTTTTTTTCTCTACCAGAAAATTAAGAGCATCTTTTGTGTGTGTGTGTGTGTGTGTGTGTGTGTGTGTGTGTGTGTGTGTGTGCGCGCGCGTGTGTGTGTGTGTACCTGTGGTGGGAACAGCTGTTAATTAATCACAATGTATTTTAAGCTGCTTGTGTGAGAGAGAGACTGAGGCAGAGGGATTGCATTCAGTCTGATTTTTTTTTTTCTTCAGATGAATCTTTGCAAGAGTTCTCCTCATTCCTCAAGAACCTTGAAGACCAAAGAGAGCTGATGGTGAGAAAAACCAGTCAGAACCTGCTGGAACGCCAGGGGAAATACCTGTGTGTGCGTGCGTGTGTGTGTGTGTGCATATGCGCGCGTGTGTGTGTGTGTGTGTGTGCTGGGTATGCTTGCACTGTGTGCATTTCCAACCAGCCTACACCTATTACTGCCCTTATTTGGTACTTGCATCTATTAATGTCGAACTCGGTCATCCGCCAGAGAACCAGACCGGCACTCGTAATATAATTTTCTCTGACGTACAGTACAACCACTGCATCCAGCAGGCAGACCAACCAGTTCCCCGGTGGGTGGATATGTGTATTGATAGTGTTCGAACAGTTGTGCTTGTCTTACAGCCACTGTCGCACTACTTGCCTGGGGAGTGGCTGCCGAGAGGACAGGATCCATTTTATCACAGCCAAGCTTTAAATACCGAGAAAGATTCACATAAGCTTCTGCACCAAGGTCCACAGCAATACAGCCCTTTACGACACACCACCATAAAACTGGTTTCTGCATCAGGCAGCTCCGTTAAAGTTGCTAATTTATAAATCACAAAAATCCCACGTGGAAGATGGTACAACACTCCTAAAGGATCTGTAATTTGAATGGTTACAGTGGGTTATAAACTGCTACCCTGAAGTGTTAAAAGTGTTAAAACCTAATAGATCTACTTTGTCAAAGCTCCTCATTTGACGACTGATGGCCAGTGATAGTTTGGAAAAATCCTTTCAAAAGAAAAAATCTAAAACATTCCACTTCTCTGGACTGGGATACACAATGTCGTGCTTGCGACTTTCTATGAACATCCGCTCTGTTGTAATGTCTGTCTGTCTGAGGTTAGGGAGTGTTCCCATCATCAGTAGCTGACTTAGATGACTGTTTTAGCGCCTGGCTCAGGCCGTAATGGTAAACACTACTCAACACTGCTTATCATAGTGGGATGACATCACAGTGCAAAGTAAGGAGAAGCAGGATTGGCATGCAGGCACAGACATGTCCTACAGCAGGCACAGCAGAAGCACCAGAGGAAGGAAAAAAAAACACATTGACTTCATGAGTTCATTATTGGAAGACAAAGATACTTGTAGAATAATACGAATGTCATTGCAGTTATGTAATTTACTACCAGTCAACCTTCAGTGGAGTCAGCAGACGCTTAATACTGGAAAATGTTGTTGTGTCACATGAAACATCAATGGGGTTTGTCACTAAGTTGAGCAATAATGAAGGCTTTGTGATGGTGTCTGTCTAGATGAAAAACATCACAGAAACCTTAATGAAACCCCTGGAGAAGTTCAGGAAAGACCATCTTGGTACAGTAAGGGTAATGTATGATGGTTTCTCTTCCCAAAATATGTTGAAGCGCTTAGTCGATATGTTTGTATGTTTGGTGTACCCTAATGATTACAAACAAATATGTAAAAATTAAAGATTTTACAGTTGGATGCTAATAGCATATCATTGTACTGCACACACAGCTTTGATTCTTTTGTACCCAAGAATAATTTCGTATTTTGTTCTCCTTCTATTCCTTCTGAAGGCGGAAAGAAAGAGGTATGAGAAAGAAACGGAGAAGTACTACAGCTCTCTGGAGAAGCTTCTGAATATGTCAGCAAAGAAGAAAGAGCCACAGCTACAAGAGGTATTTATCCCCGCCTGAACTCTCCCGACACATTTTGTAACATGCAGAATATAGCTGTTCATAATGACAGCAAAACGGATGGAAACGGGTATTTTGTGTAGTTTGAGAACCCCTGTTTTTTTGCCTTTGGTGCCGTGGGGGGGAAGAGCCTCGCTGCAAAGCCTGTTGGACCGTGTGAGTTTCCACTAACATGCCTCGCAGCAACAGTTTTCCTGGCTTGTTGGGAAAGGAAATGGTTGCTCACTTGTGCTGCGATAACAAGGTCAAAACTGGTTGCTGTAGTTTGGGGAACAATCTGTGCTGCAGTACCATAGCATGGGCTTTTTTAAATTGTGGAGAAGTTAGCAACCTCTCACTGAACAATGTTTCTGCCTTCTTGTCGTTGTAGCCATTTAAGGCGTAACCATATGTTGTATACACCAACCGGAGAGAGGACACTCGGAATTGTTGACATGATGGCTGCAGGCTGTTCTGCTCTCTGTGATTCTTGTGTTACCAACAACGAGTTCTATCGGACTTGAATAAATAGACCCAGTGATTCATTCACAGCCGCAAGAGTCATGAACTTCATCAACACTGCATCACAGTTTTGGGTATCTTATGAAAAGCAGCGCTATGTGAATGTGAATAGAAAATGTTACTTATCAGCAGCTGATATTTAGTAGGAAAGGATATCAGCCTGTGGGCTGGCACTGTGTTTATATGTATCCCCTTGTTTCTTTGTGTGTAGCTTTTCTTTATCTGAATCGGCAGTAAAAGGATAGAGGGTGTGGTATGTTGTACGGATCAAACAGCCCCCCAAGACAAACTTGTTATTCTGGGCTATGTAAATGCACTTGATTTGAACATCAACAGTATTTGAGTACTTCAACGTCCCCTTTTGTAAGAATATGATACCAAATTCCACTGTATCACAGAGATCCCAGTGTTTCTTCTTCGCTTCCGTGCATCTGTCAGTCTCTATAATCATCACGATGTGTGTTCTCCGCCCCCGCAGGCAGACACCCAGGTGGAAACCATGAAGCTGCACTTTCAGGAGGAGTCACTGGACTATGTGTGCAAACTGCAGGAGATCCAGGAGAGGAAGAAGTTTGAGTGTGTGGAGCCGGTGAGTGACTCACCGCGGTGGCTCGTCAGCACTGACGCGGCTCGTATTTCACATTAATAAAAGCACGGAGTTAACCAATGAGTGATTTTGTTGCGAGTTTCTCTTTAACAACATCTGTTTGTACCTGTGTTGTGATCTTTTTAGATGCTGGCCTTCTTTCAGACCGTCTTCACCTTTTATCACCAGGGCTTCGAGCTCGCCAAGGACTTTGACCATTATAAAAGAGCACTGCAGATCAATATTCAGAATGTAAGAAATATGAATGTGTTCTTACTATGCTTGCATAAGGATGATTCTAAGCATGACAGCAATTGCTTGTATACAATTCGTGTGTTCTTGTTCGACCCAAAGAATAGAAAACATCTTGAGCGTTATGTGTGCCAGAGTGAATAAACAAAAAGGTTGACATCTAAAGGGCAGAAAGGCCCGTGAAACAAAACCATGATATACTATCAGCTTATCAAGTTCTTCTAGCTAACCTGTTAATTAACACAACCACTAAAGCTAAAAACAGAGCATCCTAGGCCATTGGAGTTCTCTTTGTCTACCTGTCGGATGCAAGTCCAACATTTACTTGCCTTTGTGTCTTGATTTGGCCACCAGCTCCTCCCTTTATTCTTCAGTGTAATTACAGTCTTATCTTGGCTTCATTCTTAGTTTTAGATTACTACCAACTATTCAACCGATGTCATGGAGATAAAGGCGTTTCCAAGGGAAGCTCATAAGTTATATCATGACCTCTCATTAGGAAGGTCTTGCTAACTAATCACTGAGCATCGGGAAGTGACTTCCTGGAGCGTGTGTTTACCCCCCTCCCCTCCCTCCAGACAAGGAGTCGATTTGAGGGCACGCGGTCAGAGGTGTACGAGCTGATGAAGAGGATCAGGGGGGCACCTCAAGAATACAGACAGACCAGCCCTATCAGTTGTGAAGGATACCTCTACGTACAAGAAAAAAGTAAGATCTCTATGTATTCCAAAGGTGTCACATTACACTTATTCATAACACACACTGTTGCGGGGAAACATAGTCCGATGTCATGGTCAGAAGGGGTATTTTACCGCTTTCTTTCAACTCCTGTGGAAGTGGAGTGTTTTTTCCACATTTAAAACTTTTGAAATGTTTTCTGTGCCTACTGTGGGTTATCAATGACGTAATCTTAATGGGTTGTTGTGCACAGACAACTAATTCGCTTTATCCTTATAATGGAAAAAACATGAATGTTCAAATGCATTTTAATGCAACATGATGCTCCTGCAAAATGTTGCAGAAATACGGACAAAGTGAACAAGTTATTTATTATTTTATTAAGTGGCTCTACTTGCTGTCGCACATTGTCATTCCGGATGTCTTCCCTGTATGCTGCTGCGTTAAGCAGTACTGACTGCAACTGTGTGAATAGTGTTGAATGTCCGTGTCACACCCTTGTTTCTCCAGGGCCGCCTCCCTTTGGTTCTAGTTGGGTGAAGCGCTACAGCACGTTTGTCAAAGAGCAGAAGATCCTGCACATGGTGACCTTTGACCACAGATCTGGTGGCAAGATTGTGAGTAGTCCGACAACACATAGAGCAGTGGGTCATTGATGCCTTATCATTTTTTTATTAAATCTCAACCACTTTGTTCACTGTGTAATCTTTCACTTTTTCAGAATGCTATTTTTTGTAATTTGTTTTTGTCTTTCTCTTTTGTTCAGGGTGAGACTGAGTCTGTCACACTCAAATCCTGTCTCCGCAAAACGACCGACATGTTGGACCGGAGGTTCTGCTTAGAACTTGACATAACCGATCGGTACATCTTCGCCAAACACTTTTTCTCAAAACACACTGTCATGATACATGTGATATGATAACGGTGCTGATAGTTGAACATTTCTAATATAAATATTCTCATGTGTCTTGTCCATGGCGGCCATTGAGCACATAGATTATCTGCTGTGATATTCCACATTCTGCTAAAGATCTCAGCTCCATACACCTAGTTCAGCTCGCTGCTCTGTGTGTTTTGGATTGCTGAGGGCAGGACAGCAGTGTGTTGGAGGGTTGCCCTCACACACACTCTTAGCTAGGAGAATGTGTCACTCCCTGCTGTGCCGTGTTGTAATAGATATCTCATTTTGTCACTCAACTTAACTCTGCGCTGCCTATTTTATTCTGTAGTATTAATAGAAGAGCAATACCCCAGATTTAGTTTGGTAATTTGAGTCCACACATCCATCTGATTGGGATGAGTAACTTGATGGTAGGTCTCATAAACCTGCATGGATGACTCATATTTGTATTTTGTGCAAATCGAAATGTGCAAGTTCCCTTGACAGAGGTTTTTTATTTTTCTTTGAAAGATTGCTGAGCTCGTTTGATGTTTTATATCGACACAGACTAGTTCCTTACTGCACTGTACCTCTAATGCCGATGTGGTATGGCTCTCTTTCAGGCCGGGCACGGTGCTGACAGTACAGGCTATGTCAGAGGATGACCACAAGTTCTGGATGCAGGCCATGGGTGGGAAGGAAGCTGTGAGTCAGCCTGTCATCTTTGAGTCTGTTTAACTGCCATCTTACAGAAAACTATTCTTTTTAATGTAATAAACTTCCACATACCTGCACTTTACTGTGTATCCCAATGTTCAAGTATACTTTATAAACTTTAAAAAGCCATAAAGATTTTATTTTTTTATTTTTTTAGACTGGATACTATCTTGGGACGACGTATTCTAAAGAAAGAGGAAGTAAGCAATCTAGCTGTACCAGACTTTGTATCTGTAAAGTAATATCATAAAGTTTCATGAGCGCAATGCTTCACCCCCTTTTTATTCATATTTTTCTTCTTCCATCTGCAGTTGATGCCCAGCTGAATGATGTGGGTTTGAGTTTTATGGAGAACTCCATCAGCGCCATCGAGACAAGAGGTGAGCCTCAGATACGCTTTTCAAATGTAGAAAAGCTCAGTTGAGAGAAGCTCATTCATTTGGGGACATTGAACATGACAATTGGTGAATCGTAACATAGCTGCAGTTTTGGTATCTCTACGCAAGGGGGCAGACTTGCTCCAGTATTGAAACCAAAGGCTGACTGGGAGCTACTGCAGGCAGCATGTACTGTAGCTAATACCAATGCCTTTCAGTGTGTAGCGCCAACGTTCTTATTCATTTGCTTTTAATTTTGGTCTATTCCCCCTCTACGTTTCTTTATGCAAAGGGTTATCTACCTTACTTGGTTAGATCCCAGTGACATATTCATGTATCTGATGAATAGTTTCCAATTACAGGGTTGTTGTAGTGTGTATTCTTGTTTGTTTTTGTTTGTCTTTCCATTTATTGTCTGCTTTGTGTGTTCTTTTCCCTGTAAAGCACTTTACAACCTTATTAAGAGCAGTGCAATACAAATACAGTTTCATTATTGCTTTCAGGTATTAATGACCAAGGCCTGTACAGAGTTGTTGGGGTAAGCTCCAAGGTCCAGAAGCTCGTCTCATTAATGATTGGTAAGTTGAATTCTATTATTTTCTTTCTGCTCTCAATATATATATATATTGCGTAGAGAGTTGAATGTAGTTAAAACTTTAATTCATATGCTACTGCACTATCTCTGCGATATGAGGTCGCCCCCAGTTAGCCGAATGTGCTGACGTAATGGATGTGTCTGTCGGGACGATATTAAAAAGATAGTGACTGACAATCAGCCCATGACTCAGCTTATCAGAAGCATGTCTCTCTAATGTGTAACAAGTGCCCGGATGAATCTTTTCCTCACTTCATTTCAGTTTTATATCCCCCAGACAACCAGACAGGGTCCCTCCCATCCACGTCCTTGCAGTTTTGGGCTTTTGCTTCATTAACACACCACTAAATCCGCCTCTCATGTGCTCGTGGCCAGCTATCGGTCGTCTTTCTCCTTTATGCCGCTCACTTGTCTTGAATCCCTTTCACTCAACTCATTTTCGATAGAGCTTGTCCTCTGTCCTTCCCATGGCTCCCTGTCTGCTCTGTGGTTTCCTGCCGTTTCCAGCAGACACCAGCTCACTTTCAGCTCTGTGTTCAGAATAACAACAAACTCAGGCAGCCGTCAGCCTGTCTCAGCTTCCTCTCCGAAGCCTTCCAGCCTCCCAACCTGCCGACTCATGCTGTGGACTCCATTAACACTCTGCTGCTGCATTCGAAGAAGTTTCTTTAAAACCCGAATATAGTAAAAGAAGAATTTGTCTGTGGGTGGTGGACCTTCCACAGATTATTGTGAACGAGGGACAAATACAGATATTGCTTGCACTTTAATGTTTGCCACGGATTGACCATATAGAAGAAGATGTTTTCATTAAACTGCCTAGAGAACTTCTATTTTATCCCTGAAATGACAGAGGTAGTACTACGACACAAACCGACACATTCACAAACATTTCCTGCATAGAACGGTTCACAGTGAGTGGGTGAAGCGAGCTTTAAACCCTTAAGAAAGTCTTCGTATCCTCCCACTCCTCCTCCTTTTCATCTCTCACCCACCGACATGGCCATGGTCCAATCGGAGAGGACAGAGGGATAGAAAACGAGTCTCCCATCACATTACAGTACAAACAAAGAGAGCGGCCCCTATCCAATGTCAGGCAACAATATAACCGGAAGAAGAAGTGAGCTGCGTTCTGTCTCTGACCTGTCCCTTGTACACTAAGTGGCAGATATTGCTATCAGTGTTGCTGAGTTAGACTTCTTGGTTCTATAGATATAACTGCAGAGTGAGGCAAATTTGAGGAATGCTGTGTGATGTTTCCAAAGAACTGCTCCATACATTTCACATTTTCAGGCAGAAATGACTATATGTGACCAATAATGGCTTTACCAGATGCTTGGATGATTTAGTTGCTTTTAATACTTTTGTTAAATAACATCAGTTCAATACTAGATCTCCTGACGACTTTAAACTGTTGGTTCACTTAAATTCCATGAAACATATTTTCCCACGGTGACGGCCCTCACTCTGTGGCTGGTGGGCTCGCCTCTTTGAGTTCAGTTCAGACCGGGTCAGCCTGGGCCCTCTGGGCCGGTGGTTTCCAGGCTGAGGGTCCGGACTCCCACAAGAGGTCGCAAGGCAAATCAGGTTACGCTCAGACAGAACCCATGGCCACACACGAAGGAGGAGCTAGACGCTGGCCGCCTCAGAGGAGAGAGACGCAATAATGCAGCATTCATTTACAGACGGTTTCCTTTGGAAGACATTTATGGTGTTGCACTCATTTAGTTCCCATAAAAAGTGAAAGAAATAGTTCCATAAAGAAGGAATGAACGGAGCTACGGAGAGAAAAGTTCAAACTCTGCCTCCTTACTCACTTCCACTCTGCTGGCCAATCAGGGTGTGATGTGGGCGTGAATGTCGGACACGTACAGTAGGCTTTTGCCGATTTGGCGATTGGATCGTATGTCGACAATTGAAGGGATGATCGCCAATTGTTTTTTCTGACAGCCAAAGATATTAAAGGGATTCTAACAAATTTACGATCAGAACCAAGATGTTCTAAAGATCTGTTCTAAAAGTAATCGATAGAATCAGCGCCCTACTGTGCATTTAGTGATGTATTTGGTGGAGAGGCATGTCTGCTTGTTGAGCCCCTTCAATCAGCAACGGTGCATTCTAAATCCTTAATCGCAAGCCAGCTTGCCATCTCTTTTCCTTGGATCTGACCAACCACATATCCGTTCTCCATATGCCAGCTCACCAAGACTTTGCTCTGCGCTCTATGAGAGGAGTTAACATTATGGATAGGGCTGTATGCCTGTTGAATGTCATTTTATATTACATTTCAAGCTTTGATTGAGGTTTTCCAATCAAGCTTCGAATGTCTGTTGTCATATTTTATGACACTGTCAGCCTTAATAATATATCTTTTTTTTATAGATATAATTTATGGTGCTGCTAGCTGCTGCTACACCACCACATCAATACAGATGCGTGCCTCGCTAGTGCAAGCGGGAGACATTTGTTAAACCGTTAAATGGCAAAAAATACGGATTGAAGCAGAATATTTTGTTGGATAAAACATCTTGTGAATTGTTTTCAATCATTTTTTCCACAGCACACATGTCACACATGCGTTGCTTTCATTGATGATAGTGTGCAGATTTCTACACCCCATTGTTTATTTGGGTTAAGATCAAGGCATAATACTTGGTGAAGGTCATTTTGGACTTAATTTCACGTTCATTCGACCAGTTTGTCATTCCGCCTTTCCTTAGTTTTGAAAAAGCAAGACAGTCAGCACATTTTAGCTTCTAGTTCAACAGACCTGCGTAATGGATTTGTACGGCAAAATGTTTTTCTGCTTCTGAGGATGTCATGGGAGCTGCAAATCTAAGTTTAGCCGCTATGCTACAGTCACCACACGGTACAGTTGTGTCCCCAAGGGCTTAATGCAGAGAAGGTAAAATAACAGAGAATTACATCTTTGAACTTGCTGCTGCTTTGTGGTCAGCAGTCTCATAATCAATGCTACTCCAACTGCTACTGCCAATCATTTTCCTCTGTGTCCTTGACCTCACCAGGTCCAAGCCTGTTTGTGCTAGAGAGCAGACTACAGAGCCTGTGCAGATCCCATTAATCTCAACACATACACACTCGCAGAGGCGCAGCTTTGGCTACACTCTTCAAAAACATTTGCTCTCAGAAGTTGATATTGGACAGAGCAGGCGGAGAAACACACAGTCCTCCTGGCTGCAGTGCTCGGATGAAATAATATTTAAAAAAATGTCATGTAACGCAGACCACCTACCACCATCTGTGTGTTGACCTGAGCCCTGTACAGTGCATGTTACTGACGCATTACACTTCCGTATCCTCTGTAATTCATCAGAGGTTACTTAAGTTAGTGACTGTCGTGATAATGTGCCACCTCAATTTTCAGCAAAACACAGCTCTGGAGTCCCTGTGGAGCCAGCGAAGTAGTGGGGGATTAATTAAACTTGTAATGAGTAGAGAACCAGCAGCCTACAGAAGCTGTAACTTCCTTCCATATCCACTGGGGCTAGACTAGACTCGACCCCCAAGGCCAGTAGCACTGCTTTTATCCTCATATGACTTATTACTAGTTACATATTTATATTACATATTTTGACTTCCTAGGCTGCCCACAAAACCACACAGAGCGTTTGGCTGCTTAATGTGAAAACCAATAGTTAGCTGGTGCGTTGTGTTGTGTTAATATTCCATTAAGACTTCTGTTTCGTGATTGTGTTTAATTCAGACGAGGAGAGCAACGAAGTGGATCTGTCTACCAGCGAGGACTGGGACGTTAAGACAGTAACGAGTGCACTGAAGCTTTATCTCAGGTAAGGATCAGTGGGGTTAAAGACACACAGACACATGCACACATGTAAGCCATCTGAAGCTGTCGAGTAATCGATTACTTGATTGACAGTAAATTACCAGGCACCTAATTTGATAATAGAGTAAATGTTTTAGTTATTTTCAAGCAGAAATGGTCAAATATTCACTATTTTCTGCTGATTCTCTGTCATATGTGATTTAAACTGAATATCGTCGGACCTTTTGGACTGTTGGCTAAATAAAACAAGAAATCTTTGACTGTTTGAAAGTCAAACATTTTATGGACAAAACAGTCAAATAATCCTTACTTATTGCCCTAAAATCATCAGTTTCTACCCGGTGAGCGTTGATGATATTGTTAGTTTGCTAATCATTTCCTAAACATTTGTTGTGATCAGTTTAACTCTTCCTGTCACTCACAACGTTATATATTCTAATTAATATTTCCCCTGAGCAAATTTTGAGATGTAAGTTAAGTTTCGTAATTTCGTAACCTTGTATTGCTGCATTCAAACGGAGGCCGTGACGAGACTTAACTTACACTCCTGGTGCATAATTGATTCAGAGTTGCTGTGTGTCTAAGCAAATCCACTTGTGACCTAAGACAACTCCGGTGGTTAATGAAACATTTTCTTTGTATATCTTTCTTTTGATGAACATGATGGAGGCTCTGTTCACTTGAATATGAAACATTCAATCCAACCTCATCTCTGTCTTTTATATAAAATGAGTTAATTATGCAAAGTGCTGCTGTATAATTAACTTCTTGCGAGGTCACATTGCTTACTGTATGCCTGTTCCACATTCACCAAATCCTTCCTGGTTGACAGATAGAGTGGGTGAAGTTCAAAGATTAAAAATGTAGTTTGGTTGCAAGAAGCTGAGGCAGTTTTCATTTAAATGCCAATTTGTTTTTGTAAACATGTGCGGTTAGCAAAATTGAGTTGGCTTTGCTTATTAAAATGAAAGTTTGGAGTTTGGCCTGTTTTCCTTATTAACAGTAAAAAATACTCACAAGAAGCTTTTCGGCCCATCAGATGCTCTTATTTTTTTAAAGATTTCTTTCATGAAATTTGACACGAGAGGTCAAGACTTATACAATGCACCTCCTCTGAACCTCTCAGGAAAAACAAACAATAACAAAAGGAAGGGGGAAAAACTACGCTAACATAACTTAGAAAAATACAACAAAAAATAAATGACAACCATGTCATTAACCGGCACAGTTAAATCGTGTTCATTCGTCTTCATTTTGCTGTAAGATGTTATGATTGTGAAAATAAACAGATCTAAATGTCACATTGAAAAAGTAAAATTTTGATTATGATCAAACAATTGTCAGCTATTTTATCCAATATTTGGTATCAGTTTAATTGACAGTGCTAACACTTAAAATAAATAAGAACATCAAAGCTGTTAGTGCTCTATTCAGTTACAGTTAACTATGTGCTGCCATGAAATGTAATCTTAAGTGTCTACTGCGGTTTAACATGGTGGGATTAGACTATCATCCACCATCAAGTATTCTGATCAGGGTGTAAATGACCAGACCTATTAAAAGGGGTTAAGATCGTGTCGTGATGGGCTGATTTTAAGCTTTGACCCTTTCAAGGAAGCGGCTTGTAACGGGACGTGAGACTCTGTCACACTCGGTCTCCTCTGGTTTTAAGGATACGATCGCTGTGTTCAATCAGGCAAACACCCTCTAAGCTAACATAGCTTATCCACATTGTTATGCTATATTAAACCATGCTGAGCAGTGCTCTGACATGTCTCTTACTTTGTGGCTAGTCCGCTGGAATAAAGCAGGGTCAATCTCCTCACTTTCCTCTGAGGCTAAGTACCTTTGGCCACTTGCCAGCTGCAGTGTGGAAGTACCTTCAGATGAACTTGGTTATCTCAACGTGTGCACCATCTAATTCCATCCCCTGGCCCGGCCACATTAATCATTGCTGTGTGCAGACCCTATAAAACAGTGTGCCAGCTATTTCTGTCCGTCCCCCCCCCTCACTCAATTCAGCTCTCACTTCTCCACCCAACCCTTGTCTCTCTCTCTCTCTCTCTCTCTCTGTCTCTGTCTCTGTCTCTGTCTCTGTCTCTCTGTGTGTGTGTGTGTGAAGGAGCCTTCCTGAGCCGTTGATGACCTATGGACTTTACAAAGGGTTTATTAGCCTTGCAAGTAAGTTTGACCTCCTCTTATACCATCACTGAGTAAAGACAGAAAGACAGTGTACACATGTGTTGTATCAGAGATGGACATTCAGTTTCCTCTACTTCAGTGAGTTATTGAAAATACGCAGTCAAATGTGAACCAGTTAAATCACTTTTAATAACTTTTTTGAAAACTTTTTACCAATTCTTTTAAAAATCCTCTTAAGTAAAGGATTCATAGTCTGAAAGCTATTGGTCTGAGTGTGTCTTGAATGCTGATGAGGATCTGTCTTCATCTTCAGACTTTTAAACACTTGACAAGCGTCTCTAAAAAGTGTAATGTTTAATGCTATACAGTACGTTTAGGCCTTCTTACTCGTCTTCAGAAATTTGCACTCCCAAAATCCGAGGACACCGTCGCCCTGTTTCTCACGAGGAAATGTGATTTGAAGAATCCTTTCAGCCGACAAACCTTAGACAAACCTTTTTGACATTTAAGACTGTTTTCCATGTGAGCCTACTGCCCATCTTCATCTAACTTCTACCTGTGGCAAAATAAGCCATTTAAGGTTAAAGCTAAAAGCTTTAAAATTATAAATATGCTGTAATTTGCATGCCCTCAAAGGGTCCAGTGAGTGACCTTGAACAGCAAAAAGACACTTTTTTTTTTCCACCCACATAACATCATTTATGTGCTAAATGTTTTTGTTTTTTTTTGTTTGTTTTTTTTAAAGCAAGCCAAACTTGAATCCTATTACAACAAGTGCTATAATTGGATCAGGTTGACATTTTTATCAGGCGCTCGCAATGCCCTCATAACGAGGGGGAAAAAATGGATTAGCGACGAATATTTGTTTTTTTTTGATGGATGACAGCATCCATAAGCAGCTTTTTCCACGTTTAAATCCTTGTCGTTCCCATAGTAATGATGTTTTGTGTGTGTGTGTGTGTGTGTGTGTGTTTGTGTTTGTGTGTGGGCGGTCAGATGCCCATGTGTGAGGAAATGTTTAAGAGATGATCTTTGGGGGTTTTAACACAACCCTTTTATACGGTAGCGACAGTAACGTAAAGCTATCTCCCTTCGCCAGCATAGTGGTCCCCGCTGCCAAATCCTGGGAGGCTTCAGACTATATATCACTTTCACACCCCTTCTTCACTTATTTAAACTGGAATGTATCATCCTCCAAACATTACGCTTGAGGTGATAGCCTCTGATCATTGTGTCCTTAAAGGTCCACTGACTTTTTCCTCATTTGATTGTTTTCCAGAATGTATCCAATTAGTTTGTTAGGACTTTTGAAGTAGTAGAAGGTTCAATTACTCTGCTGAATTACTTTCATTTGGTGTGCTGTACCAGATCAACAGTGTACCTTGTGTATCATCATCATCATCATCTCTTTGAATTTGCTGTTTGCTAATGTTGTACAGTAGCGTTGGCTCTTTGCCACCTGAGGAGTTCAGTGAAATCCTTGTAGTTTAATGCAAGTGCGTGGCTGCTCCTGCATTTTGAACAGAGGGCGGTAGTCCAGAGTCTCGCATCCAAGCCGTCCACTGCCTGGTCCACAAACTACCGGAGAGGAATCGACAAGTCCTCGGGCTGCTCATGAAGCATCTGGCCAAGTGAGTGTTCATAGTTCCTTGGTTATAGTTCAGCCAATCTCCACCCCCTCTCTCTCTCTCAGTTCTCTCTTTCTGCTCTTCCTGTCTGTCTCCTCGTTCTCACTCCACATGCTTTTTCTCTCTCTCTCTCTCTCTCTCTCTCTCTCTCTCTCTCTCTCTCTCTCTCTCTCTCTCTCTCTCTCTCTCTCTCTCTCTCTCGACTTCACTCCCACTCTCTTCACTCCCCCTTCCCTGCTGTCACTCCATCTCCTCTCTGTCTACTCAGTGACTGATGGCTAAGAAAAGTGTTGCCGCTAGCATCTTAACATCTCTTAATATTTGTTTTTTGCTTTTTCTTAAGTCATTTTGAAATGACTGAAAGTCGTTACGGGTGAACTGTAGCCTGACGTACTTGTTTAGACTGTTTGTGCAGCCCTCCAGTGAAGGGAAATAAAATGGACCTCTCAAATTAAGCCCCCTCTTGAGATTACTATTACACCCCTGGATAGACCACTATTGTGCATCACTCCATTTGTTAGATTAGATAGGAAGAGAGATTTAGGAAATAATGTTCGCTAACATTACAAGGTTTTACCTCAGCAAGCTTTTTATAAACTAAATATGAGCAAATTGAAGATAAGTAAATAATCCCTCTTCCCTGAGGCAGTGAAAGTCTGGTGGATCTTATTTCATAGAAACCCGCTGCGGAATCAGGCTCTGGTAAAAAGGCAGCGCTATTGAAATTGAATTTGGATTATCCAGCGTGAAATTCTCCAGACTGGAGAGACTCGAATATTTTTCTGAAGTTGGCGTGTGTGCATGTCCTGCAGGGGGAAGGAAGCAAAGCCAGAATTTCACACTCCTATCTGAAATGGTTTCAGAGATGTTATAAATGTGAGTTGTCACCAATGTTTTTGTCTTCAAAGGCATCCTTTGAAGCTATTTAAACTGTCTCAGCTGCTCTACTGCGTATCATCATATTCTAAGTGTGAAATCTCTTCACCTGTCCGCATAACTTTCTCTTCAAATTAAGGTTTTTCTCTCCACATATTTGACCTCCTAAGATAAAGTTTCATCTACTGAAGGTGTTGCAAAACTAATCCAGAAGACATTAAATAAGACGTATCATTCCTCTTCATCAAATCTCACAGTCATTGTTGTTGTTGGAATTGATATTAAAAGCCTTTTCATTATAGCAGGTGTGTAACTTAAAAATGTCTAGATGCACAAATACTTCATTTCATGTCATAATCATTGTAGGGAAAGATACACGGGAGCTGTACATGCAGGACTACTTCATGTTTAGATTGAAGAGGTTTTGCTAAAGCTAACTGCTGCCATAAGACGTGCTGAAATCCCTCATTTTTAGTTGTCATGTAATATCAAAATGCCGTGGAAAAGTGCAGAGTAATCCCTAAAGATGGCAACATCTCATTGTTTTTCTTGAGCCATTTTGGACTTGTGAAGTGATGCATTATAGGAAGAAACACTAAATATTTAAAGGTTCCTGCCGTGCTTTTTAGCAGCAGTGAGTCGCTTTGCGTAAAAACACCACTTCTCTGTTAACGTCATAAAAATAATTACATTAAATCTCAATTTGACGAATGAAACATTGACATTTAGGGGGGAAAGAGCAGAGGAGCAATTTTGCACTATAAGTGCCTTACTGAATATTAAATGAGTCATCTAAAAGTGGTTTAACACCTCATCTACACCGTTTGCACAGGGAACACCTGGATGTCGGGTATTTTTCTTCAGGAAGCATTTGACACTATGTATTCTTCATTTTCTTGTTTGCTCAAAAACTTTTTATTCATAGCATTTGAGTGTTGCAGGAATGAGTCGTAAAACGGAGGAATTTAGCATTTTTCCACTTCCCGTTCCCTCAACTTGAAGTCTGTAGTTTTTTTTTTCATGTGTTTTTGGTTAGATGCCTAAAATAAGATCTGTGGTTACCACAAGCTTATGGGATTTTAATGTTTTGTTCTCCGATATAAATATGTCGGTAAATAATGAATTTTGAAGCTTTTGCTAACAAGTGACTAAATGAGATTACAAAGCGTCATCAAGCTATTCACTTGTCCACCTTCAACTTAATGAAGTCACGCGACTGTGTTGTAGTTTGTTTATAGCCGTTAACGTTAACTGGTGGCTTCTGGTGATTGCATTCATGCTTCAAAATTCATAGAAGTGGTGATTATTTGTCAAATTTATCTTGCTGAACAAAACATGTTTGCTTGCCACAAAGTTTATTTTCTGTGATAATCCAATGGAAAGTCCCATTGGCTTTTTGTCTAGCTAACTAGTGCAATGCTAACTTTCAGTGTTGGCCTCATAGACTGTATATAAGAAGTGGACGTAGTCATAGGGACATCAGCCATCGGTTTGTGGACTGCCGTTACGAAGCCTCGAGTTCGGCGAATTGGCCATCGCCATCTTGACTTTTTTTGCAACCAATGAACGGTAGTTACCATGTTTGCAATGAGGGGGAGTTACGTAGAGACGCTGAATTCGGCTCTGGTACCGTCAGTGACCCGTCAATCACAGTAAGCCCGCCCCAAAGCATGCTCTGCTTTATGGTCTAGCTTACTCTAAATGGACCATCATTCACTAAATGAACATCATGCTGTATTGAAGAAGACTTGAAACTAGCAATTGAGAGCATGAACTTGTGTTTACAATTTCTCATAGACTTTCATACAATCTGACTCCTTTTTGCAACCGGAGGAGTCGCCCCCTGCTGGTCAGTAGAGAGAATGCACGTTTTAAGACACTTGTGCATTGGCTTCACTCGGCAGAACCGGAGGCTGCCGCCTGGTTGGCCTGAAAATATGTCATCCCTGTAGCACTCTATACATGACAATTACAGTTCAGTCAAGTTTTGCCTTGTTTTTCTTTGTTCGTATTTAATCTTTCCCTTTTTCTGTCAAGTGTTCAGTGTTTACTTGTTTTTGTTGTATCCAGTAGAGTAGTCATTTCAGTGAAGCTGAGTTAGTAAGTTGGAGTAAACTGTGTATAATGTGAGATGTTATCTTCCTCAGTGTGGCGGCTCACAGTAAACAGAATCTGATGACCGTGGCCAACCTGGGCGTGGTGTTTGGCCCCACATTAATGAGGCCACAGGAGGATACCGTCGCTGCCATCATGGATCTTAAGTTCCAGAACATTGTGGTGGAGATCCTCATTGAACACAATGAAAAGGTAACACTCAACACTGGGATTTGCCAGACATGCAGGGCTGTATGGACTGTACTAGTAATGCACTTGAAACTGACATCATAGCAGTATAACTTCCAGTGTAAGTAATTAGTGCCATGTCTACAAAAACAGAGTGAAAGTATTTTTGTTGCATTGTGTTCTATTTTCTCCCAAAATGTCTGTTTTTGATTGGTCAATTTTTACTGCACTGACTGCACTTTTAATGATTCATTCTGTCAGTGCAACATTGTGCGTATAATTGTGTTTCCACTTGCCATCCAGAACTCTTATTTACTAAAAGAATTGGCGCCCTAGGCAACACAAGGTACAATGATGACACCAAGTCAAATCTGAATGAGGTGACTCACAGCACCTTTTGTGTTTATCTACCTGGTTGGCGTGTAATTACTTGATACCGAAGGATAGCAAATGTGCAAGCAAAGCAAAATATCTAATGTTTGCTAGTCTTGGTCCCTCAGCACTTAGCGCTTTCTTACAATGTTTCTAAGTTGTGTTTTCTAAGTTTCAATTTGGCACTTGCTGTTGGCAGAGAAGTGCGCATACTGTACTGTGCCTGACACCAGAATTTCTTTTGGGCAGAGTAAGAGTCTCAATTAGGAAGCTCTTCTTTTCTGTAGGTCTCCTTTTTAAGGCTGTTTTAGACTTCTGCATACTCAATAAAAATTGTGCTTACTCCACCTTGAAATTCATCTTCTTTGAGCAAATGTTCCAGCAATGAAAATGCACTTCGTGGTCTCTTTGAATACATGCGTGTTCTGTTTATTCCTTGTTCTACAAAATAATGAGCAGGAAAAACTTAGATAATGAGACGTTTAACGTAAACCCGTTGGACAGCACACGCTTCACCCAGTTGTGAAGGTACAGAGGAGCAAGGCAGCAGTCTAATATCCAGAATCTTTGATTTGGCCAATAGGGGGAGCCCCAAGTGCTCTCACCGGGATTAAACACATTTTATTCTGTTCATTTTCAGTAGGTTGGTTATTGTGTAGATTATGATATATATTTGATTTAATTTGGAAGGTCCTTTGCCTGCTTAAATACATTTATTTTGCTTATGAGTTGTCTCATAACCTGTAGTTCATGGGATCATGTAATCTCAGGATGTCATTAATCGGTGTCAATCCTCAAAGGGGATAGTTGTCGGTGTCACAAGAGAAAAAGGTTTGAGATTAGCCTTCTAATCTCTTTGGAGCAGCACTGCACTCTGCCTAGAATCAGATGAAACCAAAGAGCTTTTAGTGTTTTTCTGTTTTGATTATTTTTCTCCAGCTTCATTAAATGAAATATGATGTGTGCTGTGAATAATGGCTCCACCCAAGCTCACAAATCTAAAATGGGGTGTTAGAGAATACAGAGGCTTGGCGAAACCCAACGGGCTCTACAAATGTGCTAAAACAACACAGTGTACACTGCTAGTCTCGGAGACTACCCAGAGGTATCAAACACCATTCAGGTGATAAAGGATGTAGTGTTAGAATGCTGCAGCAAGAGCATTTTGGAAAGTACAGCGTGTTAGAGCAGGGGGAAAGTTGAGCAGACAGGCAGGCAGGCATTAACTTCTCTCACAGCTTAGTCCCACTCCAGACTGTTGATACCCCCAGATACCAACAGTAGACTCTGTTTTACATTCACCTCCATCTGCAGAGAGAGAGGGAGGCAGCAGAAACTATATATCAGCCATATCAGATTTCTCACTTTTTCTATCTGCTTTCTCCTACAAACTTTCTCTCTCATAGCCCCCTCCTCTGTGTCTGTCTCTCTCGTTCACACTGTCTCACTTTCTCTGGCACTTTCTCTCTCGCTCTCTCTCTCTCTCTCCCCTCCCTCCTTCCTCTCCTCGTCTGTGATCCTTTCTGAGGCTCTGCTGAGACTTCCTCTCCTCTGCAGCCTATTCTCTTTTAACTCTACATCTGAAGTTCATATGTAAACACAGCCCGGTGTAAACAGGCCGCGCCAGTTGGCCGGCCCTCCTCGAGTCCAAAACCCTGTTTATTTAACTCTCCACTCTTTCAGAGAATGGGTCAGTTTCTCTGCAGAGAAATGTCACCTTAACCCAGACCCAGATTTCTGGACGGGATGCGATTGTGTTACATGTGGAGCTGCTCTCGTTTATTTTGGCACAAACAAAATCTTCTCACATGCAGTTATTGGGGTCCAATCAATGAGCTGCTCGGCTCTCCCGAGGAACACATGCTGTGGCTGCAAATGGCCTTTTCCATTAATCTACCACTACATAAATCCTGTGAGTTTCCAAAGCTGTTGACTAAGTGAGGTCAGTTAGGGACACGCTGCTGCTGTTCCTGCTGCTCAACTCTTTACTGCACTGTGCTTTTAGTCTTGCTAGAGACTTACTGGAATCACATTGTGTATTCAGATCTTTACAGATGCTCCGGAGTCGTGCCCTCTTTCACCTGCTGGCCCAGTATTCTCTGCTCCCACAAGGCAGTCCAAGAAGTTGGGTCGACAGAATCGGCCCCTGGCTGTCTACAATCCACAAGCCCTAGACATTCAGAATGGTAAGAGACGTACACACCTGCGCCTGTATATTTTCACACCTCTGAATATATTACAGGAACCGAGTTAGACAAAAGACTTATAAGATCATTATAAGATACCTTAGCAATAAGCTTTTGTAGAACGAAACTACCTTAGTGATCCAGAAAGAATGCTACTCGAACATTGATTTATTCATTTACGGAGCCCAACGGCTATCGGGGTGAATTTGTGAGCATACATTTGTAATTTGTGCTCTTAAATTAATAAATTGTTCGCCCAAACTTGTTATATCTGTTCTTGAAATACTGGCTTACACAAATTAACAGAACATGCACGGCCTGTCATCCCGTAAGAAATGTTTTAAAAAATACAATAAGATTAGTTATCGAAATGTATATTATCCTGGTAATCAGCATGAATTCTTATTTTTTTTTTTTTTTTTTTTTTTTTTTTTTTTTTTTTTTTTTTTTTTTTTTTTTTTTTTTTGTGGTTTTTTTTTTTTTTTTTTTTTTTTTTTTGCTTCATTATTTCATCCTGTTCCAGAAGGGGGGTATTTTGTTTTGCCCTAATCATTAGCGGGTGACAGTTGAAACCGAAGCTACGCTAGCAATAGCTAGGAGCAGTTAGCGTAATTTTAATATATGTGAATTTTTTTAAGTTGTTCTTTCTGTAGCTGTATGTCATCCACGCTATAGGCCCCTTTTCACAGCAGCCATTTTGACACACAGGTGTAATTGATACCACTAATTATGGCCCTGTTCCATTTAGATTGGCCAGGGCCCTGGTATTGTGCATGTTGGTTCACTGGAATGGATTTTCTTCACACACTAAATAGAACTGGATCATATTACATGTTATCAATTATACCTGTGTTTACCCTGCTATGACATGTCAAAAGTGCTGCTGTGAAAAGGGCCTATTTTCATGGATGTAGCAACTGTAGGTAGCTAGCTACGTTACCTTGAATACAGGCTAAATGTATATTAAATAATTTCAGTGCAACACCACAAGAAAACTGTATTAAGCTGTCATGTAGTAAACCCAATCTCATTTATGTTTTCTAAGACACAACAACTTTTATTTTGTAATAGTGTGTATTCCTGTCTGCCATAGTGTCTTTTGTAGTACAATCAGTGGGGAGTATCACAAATCCCACTGATAGTTGTTTAGAGTAAATAGAGAGAACACATTTAGGGTAATTCAAAGGTATGAATTGTTCATTTGTGTACACAAGGTGTTCTGTTTAGATCTCAACTGAGAAACTTTTGTGCACTACTTATCAAAATAAGCTCAGTCGCCAGTTAAATATTAGCTACACCTCATTTATTTCAATGAGAGTGGTGGGCGAAATAACAGAAACGCCTCTCTGTACAGTGCAATACAGCTCAACAGCTCCCTAAAACTGTTTCAGCAGAAACGGAACAGTGTGCCCTTCTCAAAAGGTTGGATGTGACGCAGAGCCGTTGTATTAAACTGCATTAATGTCGTTTTGGCTAGTTGTAGCAAATACACTGGTATCTGAGTGTATTTACACTTGAGTCCTGCTGGGCTTTGAGTTAATTCACTCACTGATGGTTAGTCTGTCTGTTACCTAGTGACCACTATTAACCGTAGCAGTGTCCACAGATGACACGCTGTCGCCTCCTCTCTGTGTGACTGTGTGGAGAGGTTTGCCTTTGTGTGTTCATTTCTTTAAAATGCTTCCTCTGATAATTGATGAAATGAGAATGATACGGGCCTTCTCCTGTGCATCAGGTGACCTGGTGACCCAAACAATCTGACCTCAGCAATCTGTGATCCAAGGCCAGTCAAACCCCCCCCCCCACCCCCCTCCCACCCCCCTGCAAACACAAGTATGGCCATATCTGCATCAAGATGTACACAGTCACACAGAGAG